AATTTTTTATTTAATGAACAATTATAAAAATTATTATAGAAAAATAATTATTTATTTATTTAAATTTATAAACGTTGCAAATATTTAAGGACATTCGAAAAAAGAATAACAAGCAAATAAAATATGACGGATGGAGTATCTGGGTGATATTTACATAAATGAGGTGTTTTGGGTGCGAGTTCTGAAGTTGCTTACGAAACGTGACAGCTGACTAGTAATTATACACATAGAAGTATAAGAGGAATAATCTGTTGAAATTGCTATTTAGATGCAGTGTCCTTCTATGGGACTTAGCACAAGTATTTATAGTAGTTTTCTATTATAACTGAAGGTATGAATGCTTAATAAACAAAATTTATGACTTGTATGCAGGCATGGCCAAATTACGGTTCCGGGAACCGGAACCGTCGGTTCGAACCGGCCCAAAACTGTAACCGGAACCGGTAAGAACCGGAACCGGGACGAACCGGAACCGGGACGAACCGAAACCGGAACCGGAAAAATCCGGTTCGGTTCCGGTTCCTGCAAATGAGGAACCAGAAACGGTTCGGAAACCGTCGAACCGTCGGTATCGAACCGGGTTGAGCGGCAAAACTGTAATCGGAACCTGAGGTTAAGAACCGGAACCTACGGGACGAACCGGAACCGGGGACGAAGCCGAACATCCGACCACGGGGAAAAAAATCCGGTTCGGTTCTCGGGTTTCCTGCAAAATCACAGGAAACCAGAACCCGAGGAGGTATCAGAGAAGCGGTCGAACCCAGATTGGATACCTTGCGGCTTCCTCTTCTAAGGCCGGTTAGAACGCCGGTTCTGAACCGGTTCGATCAACCAGCGGTTTTCTAGCCGTGTGTAACTGTCAGATATTGGGTGTGACTATTTTGGTTTTTTTCTGTCTTGTAGAACATGTCTTAATACCCCTCCCAACCAGCCTATAAACGAGGACTATATAAAGGCTAGATTTAAAGGGTTATTTAGAAAAATGAAATTTTTTAAGAATTTATTATAATTAGGCCATCATGCACTTCTTAGGCTTCATTTTATTATACAGAATTGCATGGTACATAAAAAAAATCTCAACTCTCTCTACTTACTCTCTCTAACAATATATCTACAACTCTCTACTTACTCTCTTCTACAATATACTAACACTCTACTAGCTATAATTATTCATTTTATTCTTCTCTACTCTATCAATATTCTTATTAAGTCACATTATTCTCTCACACTTTTTGTTATTTGAGAGAGTTCCAAGTTATAGTTTTATTGATCATAATAATGGCAGTGCATGTTTGGGCGAAAACTCAAATGTCCGGAGTAAGGGCAAAGAGGGAAAAATTGAGAACATCTAGTTCCCCCTACAAACGACATGCCTATATATGATTCCGCCGACCAATTTAAATATTTGAAGGTTTTCAAATGAAAAATGAATAATATTCCAACTCAAGAATCTAACGAATTTAATGGAGCAATAATCTTCAAAAGAAGATTGAAGAGCAAAGAAGCAAATGAGCAAACGAAGAGCAAAATTGTTACAAAGAGCAAGACAATATGTGTCCGACATTAAATTCTCCATTTCTATTCACACTAAGAAAATTCAAAGGTGTGAAGAGAAATTGACGATGAGAGGGTTGCAATTATATGTGGAAATCTTATAAATGTTAAACAAGCGGTGCCGGCTATAGATCATATTGGAAGCATTTAGGAGGCAAAACATCCAACAAAAATAAGGAGTTGGATCGGTTCTCAACATATAAAATGCTTGTTCCGAACTTCTAAAACGCTTTCCTTATTTAAAATATTCTGATAAAATACCAAAAAGAAGAAATTAGCAAAATGATTTTCTATCAAACAATTCACCTTTTAGTTTTTGGTGAAAATTAGGTTTTTAATAATTATTGTCCAAAAAGCTTAATCCTTGTGCTAAAGAGAGTGACGCAAGAAATACTGTACAAACGAACTATATTTCTTATATAACAAAGGAAAAAAAGATTTAGAACTTTTATTTTCTCAATTGAAATTCTGTTTCAAATTTGTTATGATGCTCTTTGAGTGAATCAAATTGGCAAATGCATTCTTATATGGGTATTACATGTCATTGGATGATGAAAGTTGACTGGAGAAGATATTCAAAAAGAAATTATTGGTTTCCGTGTTGTTTGATGATAGAGAGCATATCTGAGCACAATAATATTTATAAGGAGCTAATTGTGTTTTCACTTCCTTAGATGAATATAGGTTTTGACAAAAAAAATTTTTTCTATTACATTTTGGAGAGTGCCTCTCTGCAAATATTAGTATCAATTAATTGAACTAAATATATAAGTGAACCAGACGAGATTAGGTGTTGAGAAGTATTTTTTCATTACTAAGATTGTAATCCATTTTTTATAATTTAATGTTACAAATGGTTTTTTGAAAATTCGTGATATCTCTTTATTTCTCCAATTAAAAGCATTTTCATATTTTGTATGGGACACATCCCCAAGGATGAAAACCGTTTTGGGCTAAATTTTGTAAAGTAAATCAATCACCAAAGACAACAAACGTTACCAAGGAAGTCACCAACTTCGTTGTAATTCCAAACAATATGTAATTGAGTAAAACGAGTCTTTTTCTTATAAATGCAATTATTAATGTTTTTTGTTACTACAAATATGGAGGAATATTAATTTAGACTCAACAAATTGGGAGTATTTTGTGTCAAAACTTTTAGGATATTTTGAGAAATTTTTTAATGATGCTACCATTAATTCTTTATGTTTGCGACTTTAATCCCCATATTACTAATTTATTTTACCTATATGTTCCTGTCTATTTAACGTCCATTTTTACTGTCTGCACTCTAAACAAAAATTTTAAATGATGATTGTAATAAAGATTTGTTTATTATTTTCAATGAAAAATATGGAGTTGATCTTATTTTAAGAATATATCCACCAGTTAAATCTTTATCTGTGTGCTAATTGTATTTGAGTCCTAAAGAGTGTAAATAGATATTTTATGTGATCTATTTGGAGCTAATTTATTATGACGTAACTTAAATCTTGATATAGAAGATAATGTTTATATAGATGTATTAAATGAAGTGAGAACCAAATATTATGGCTCAAGATTATATCCATCCGAATTTCGTTTCAATGTTTTAGTTCATGCTACTTCTATTTTCTACTTTCTCAAATCTAATATCCATTCAATTATTCAACAACAAAGGGGTAAAAGATGGTGCGACTAATGAATGTTGGCAGAACAAAGAGAAGGTTTAAATTGCAAAGGACAATAATAGAACAAGAGATAGGGAATCCAGTCTATTTCTGAATTTGAGACAATATATCTAACAACTTTTCTATTTGAGTTTTGGTATAATTATGCAGATGCATTGTGGGAATGTTTCTAATTCTTGTTAGATGGGGGAAGTGCGTCACAAAATACTTTTTCTAATTCCTTTCTTATAATTGCAAAACAAGTTTTAGCAGCTCCGGTCTCCACTGTTGCGGTTGAACAAGCTTTTAGTCAATGAGGTAACATACTTGATGAAACACGATCTCGTATGACACCCAATTCATTAGAAGCACAATCATGCTTGGATGATTGGACTAAGGCCGAACTAAGAGCCCAAGAAAATCCAAAAGAAAATGAAGATTTATATGATTTATACGATGGATCCTCAACGAGAACATCAAGCGGTGGTGCAAATAGCGATTAAGGTAAATGGGGTGAAATTGGTATAAGGTAAGTAAGAACTACGTGGGCTTTGATTCCTCTAAACCCCCGTGGCTTTGATTCATGCTCACCCAAGAGGAATATCGTAGACGAACTTAATTTTTTTTTTAAATCAAAAAAAAAAAATTAGTTCAAGCCCATTTTTTTTTTTTTATTTCGTTCAAACATTAAAAAGAGATAAAAAAAATATTGCCAGTTCAAATTTTTTTAAAAAAAATCATTATGTTCAACACTCACCATACAATCATCAAGTCTTTAAAAAAAATAAGATTAATTCGAAGTATCTTTTTAATTTTTTTAGGTGTATTATTTTTAATTTTTATGTTTCAAACATAATTTTTTTTTTAACCGGTCTTGCATGATTTTAATAATTTTTTTAGAGCTGTATTTCTTTTAAATATTTTATGTTCATAGGAATATAGAATTTTTTTTTTAAACCGGTATCCAAAATTTAATTTAAAATTTGATGGGCGATTCCGCGGGATAAAAACCAATCGGTAACCGGTCGGTTTTTGTAATCTGAATCGGAACGCGGAACCGGAACCGAGGAAGCGGTTCGGAAAACCGTAAGCCTACGGTGGACCAATAATTCGGTCTGGTTCCGGTTCCATTGCTTTTCTGGAAACCAGGAACGCCAGATTCTCGGAAACGGGAAAACAGAGAGAGTCGGTTACCGATCAACTGTGGCCGAGTTTCCTAACTTGTATAGAATCTTGATCCTAACCGATTTTGCTTAATAATCGGGACATGTAATATTTCACGCTGCATAAGATGTTTATATGTTGTGGCGGCGAGGGGATGAGAATTTTTTGATATTTAATATAAGATTTGATTTTTTTTTCTAATACTTTGAAAAGAGTGAGTTACATCTATTCATTTTATAATAAAAATAAAAAATTTTATGGTTCCAGCTTTTCTGGAACCGGAACCGCCAGTTCCGGAACCGGAACCGTCGGTTCCGGAACCGTGGCCATTTCTACTTGTATGATTTGATCCTACCATGCTTTAATATCGGACATGTAAATTTCACGCTCTAGATGTTTATATTTTGGCGCGAGGGGATGAGATTTTTATTTAAAATATAAGATTTGGATTTTTTTTTTCTAATTTTTGAAGAGTGAGTTACATCTATTCATTTTATAATAAAAATAAAAAAATTTTATAATAAAAATAAAAAATAGAAAAGAGAAAGATGAAGAATCACGTCCTGTCGTTCAATAATGTAAGCAAAAAAAGGAAAAAAAAAAAAGTTTATAAAGCATCTAATGGCAACACCAATTGTTTATTTTGTCCTACTTGCCTTGGTAGCCAGAAGCCAATGACTTGAGAAAGTAACTTCAACTCCAAAGTCACTCTGATTAATTCATAAACAAAGAGATTAACAGGAACCTCTTGGTCTAAGAAGATCATTTTGAATTATATCAGTAAATCATTTACATCTTTGTTCTTCTGAGTTCCTGCTGGAAGCTCACTGCTTGAATCCTTGTTACAACTTGCGGCTTATGTTAAACATATAAACTCAGTACAGGACAGGTACTTATAAAATTTTGTGTCCTCTCTCATCTTTCCTTTCTATTTTCTTTTCTTCTTCTTTATTTTTTTTAAGAAAAACCAGGATTTGATAATTTAATGCATGTGTTCTCTATATATCAAATTACATTAGAAAGTGGCAACAATTAATTTTTGTTTTCTTTTAATTATATATTGTTGTTCTAATTTCATCATCTAAAGATGATATTGCACAGAGTTTCATGTTTGATTTTTAATCGAAGCCCGCTAACCCTACTAATCCTAATTCGCATAAGTGCTCTAGGGAGAGTGTTAAAGAGACGACGTTGCAGAAGCGTAAACTCGAGACCTTTGCTCAAGTGAGAAGAGATTTCTGCCCTCCCATCTCATCCCTAGAAGGTAAAAATTTTCATTTTTAATTCAAATTTATGGATGTGAGTAATTTTTACCATGAAAACTGTTTTTCATGAAGGGTTAACTTGGTGAGTTATAATTAGTTTTCAAGAAAATGCGTTAAAGATAATGAAAAAATTATTCCCAACTCAAGAATTATTGTTTAGACGTTTTTTACCAGCCATTGGTAGCATTTTGATATAATATTTTTATTCTTCAATGTTTCAACAATAATATATAATACTACATAGAACTGATATTAATACGGCAAAAAAAACTTGAAGTTTTTCACAATTTTTAAAGCACTATACGTAAAAAAAAAAATTAAAAAAAAAAAAAAATTGACAGGTAAGGTTTAGAGACAAGAGACAATGGCTATTCCAGTTCCAGATCCTGTGGCTTCTGTTGTGTTGGAGCAAGCTTTTGCAGGTCTTATGAAGGAAGTTGAAATTGCACGTGACTTTGAAAGCCAATTGGAGTTTATGGAGCAAAGAGTAGATAGTATAAAGAAACTACTTGCAAACAGTGATAATTGCAACCAACAACTTATCCAAGACTTGCCTAAATTCAGAGAACTAATGTATGAAGCAGAAGACATATTAACAGACTGTCTAGTCAGGAAAGAATATCAAATGTACAATTGTTTTCCTCAGAATTTCTTCTTCCACCTTCGAACAAGCAAGAAAATATTGCATGTTAATCGAAGGATTAAGGCGAGATTTGATATTTTAAATGATCGTTTGGGACTGCAAAGGAGCAGCATCCTCAACAGGGTTAAAACAGATTTGTTTAAATGGAATTATGACTCATCTGATGATACAATCGGACTTGACAGTGATTTGGAGAAGTTGAAAGGATGGATTTGTCGAGAAGATTATGTGCTTGAAAAGATTGGAATCGTGGGGATGGGAGGCTTGGGAAAAACCACTATTGCCAAGCTAATTTATAAAGATGAAGAGATAAATGATCATTTCAAGAAGAAGATTTGGATTTCAGTTTCACAAACTTTTGAAAAGGAGGAGATTTTGAAGAGCATTTTACAACAATTAGGAGAAACACAGTGTAAAGAACCTTTAGATCCTATTTTTAAACGGTTGAAAGAAGAATCTTGTCTCATAATTCTTGATGATATTTGGGAAAACAAGAATTTCAGTTGGTGGAAGACACTTTTCTCTTGTTTTTCTGAAAAAGCTCATAAAAGAAGTTGCTTTATTATCACAACAAGAGATGAAGAAGTTGTATCTGCTATCGGAGTTGAAGATTCGCGAGTCCATAAGCTAAAATTCCTTAGTGAAATAGATAGCTGGTCATTGTTTTGTAGGCATGCATTTGTTAAGAAGATCGACAAAAGCTCTCTGCAAAGTTTCGAGGCATTAGGCAATCAAATAGTGGCTAAATGTAAGGGTCTTCCATTGGCTATAAAGACAATAGGAGGGTTATTGGGATCAACTGATTCTTACCATAAGTGGGATGAAACTTGGAAAAGTTTTTGTAATCCCAACATTACGAAAGAAAATGATGTTGTAATGGCATCTCTGCTACTGAGCTACAAGGCACTCCCTTATCAGCTAAAGCAGTGCTTGTTATGTTTCTCTATTTATCCTGAAGACTTTGAGATTGAAGCTGAAAAGTTAATCCATTGGTGGGTTGGAGAGAGTCTTGTGGAGGGTGAAGGCTCGAAAACTGCAGTAGAAATGGGGTTCGAATGCTTGTCTAAGCTAGTGAGAAGATGCCTAGTTGAGATTGTCCAGAGGCGAGGCTGTGATGGAAGAGTCTACAAGTGCAAAATGCACGACCTGGTACGAGATTTGACACTTGTGATGGCAAAAGATGAGAAACACTGCTCTTTCAATGATGTAGGAATACAAGAATTGACTGAAACCTCCAGATGGTTAGGTTTCAGAAGTGAAATGGACGCCAAATCATTAAAAAAAAGTCCAAAGCTTCGGGCATTGTTGCTAATGAGTAGCGAATGTGTTCCTTTGGACAAAAATTTGGCTTCACTTCATTCTCTCAGGGCATTGGACTTGTCTAACAACAAGTTAGACACTAATGCTTTAAAGAACCTCCTGAATTGGATTAGTTCACTCAAACGCCTCGCCTATCTAAATCTGAGTGGATCAGAAGGCCTTCAAGAAGTGCCAGATTCGATTTCCAAAGCCCATAACCTTCAGCTATTGATTTTAAGTGGATGCACTAATCTATCAAAAGTGAGCTCTTCAATCACTTGTCTAAAGAAGTTGCTAGTGTTGGACTTAAGCTCTTGCGAGAGGATTCGAAACCTACCTCGCGGACTGGGATATAAGCTCTCCCAGTTACAAGAACTGTCTGGATTAAGACTCGTAAGTCAGACTAACAAAAAATGGTGTTCATTTTCTGAGCTTAGTGAACTAGGTGAGTTAAGGGTATTGCAAATTCATCTGAATGAAGATAGTGAAATAACTGTAGAGGAAGAGATTGTTCTATCAAAGCTTAAAAAACTTAAGCTACTAGCTATTGATTTTGATTCTGAAAATGCAAAAGGGAAAAGTATGCTAGAGTTTCTCGATCCGCTTTCCCCTCCCCCAGCACTTGAGCAGTTGTACCTCAGGAGATATTGCCATGAAAGGTTGCCCAACTGGATTAGTCCTGAGAATCTCCCTAACTTGAAATATTACCATGTTGACGATGGAACAATGGTTCGTATCTGCACCAGTAGTGGCAGCACTTGGAAAGTGGAGAATTCACAATTAAATAATAATTGTTAAGTTATATATGTGGAGATTATTGGTTGTTCCATAATTAGTGAATTGATTGTAATGTTGTTAACTTTTCCTGAGATTTGTTACATAAGTCTAAAGCTTTCTACGAAAAACATTATTACAATTCTCTTCGTTTGCCCATGTAATTGAAGTGGCTCTTGCTGGCAATTTCATTTTATTCTTGCAGGATTATCAGTAGGTCTCCCACTCCCTTTGCTTTGCCAAGAACAATGATATACAAACATACATATGTCCATATAATACACTAATGTTAATAATTTTATGTAATTATATTCCAAGTAATCTTTACATTTCAAGAAAATCCTAGATTAAAATTCTTTTTGATCTCAAGATTTTGTTCTTGGGAAATGACTTACCCCACAACTCGAAAGGCCTCCCAATGATGTAGGGAAATTTCTAGTTATGGATGTTTTCACGTTTTAGAAACGTACATTTCCGTGTATCGATTTTCCTATATAAAATATTATTTTTTTATGTAAAATTATATTTTAAATATCAATTCATTCCTATCATTTCTGTTTCCGTGCAACATGGTATATTAGTCTAATTATTCTTGTGAATATCCGATTTGGGCTTTATTGAAGGGTAAGCTAACACTATAAGCTAGCACCTCATTGAGCACTATGATTTTGTTTCGTTCACAATCTTGGTTTGCAGGTTTTCCTTAGACATCTAGATAAGACTTCGTCCTTCTAAGCCAAGCCAAGTCCTGTAAACTGAATCTTTAGAAAACTTTTAGACGATTTTTATTTGTAGGGTTGGAATTGAGCCTAAATCCAGATATTTAATTTTATAATAAATTAATTGAAAAGTTATTGTTCAAATATAGTATTTCGCATGTATGTTTATGTCTTCTAGTATAAAAGCTTGGCTTTACACCATGACGACTTCAATTTTTATTTTTATTTATTTTTTTTTAATTTTCTGGTGGCCGAATCTCATTGGTCCGTTAAGTCCATAAAAAGAGACAATGCGTTCTCTCTCGAATGTTTAAAGGACTCCATATCTAATTCTCAAACTCGAAAACTCTCATTAAAAATGAAGGAATCTATGCCATCCTATCTCACCTCTCGGATGTGACTTCAAGTTTACTTTGTTATACCGCGAAAGGCACAAATTCAAAGCAAAAATTGCTAGTGTTCTATACAACTTTTTGAAGGGGGTCTTAACTATTTGCCAAGAAAATTTAAATTTCATCCTTGGAATTGTCTTATTTTGCAGAAACTTGACTAGTTTGGTACAAGATACTTGCAACTATTCATGCTTTAATTTATTTATCATCATTATTTCTCTAATATAGCATTAGTAATCCTAAGGGTCATAAATTTTTTATCAGGTCCGGACTATTTGGAAAAATTGTTAGGGTGTTTGGGGATTAGAGTGAGCAAACTTTGAAACAAATCGAAAGCCGAATCAAATTAAATTATTTTCAATTTTAGTTCAGTTATTTTATTTTTAGTCTTGGTTATTATAGAATAACTATTTTTTGAATAAAATTGAATCATTTGACCGAACCAACCGGTTTGGTTTGATTTCTAAACTTACTTCGGCATTGTCCGATTTTAAGAAAAAGTTAGTTTCTTTTTTCAATTTTTGCGGTTCAGTTCATGATGGTCTTCTCCTACATGACATAAATTTTGTGGATTCAGTCTGCCGATAATATAATTTTTTGTTATTGTATTTATTGTAATCAGCATGACCTTTTTTATGACAAAGATAATAATTTTTGATCTTAACTATTTTATTGAAATAAGAAATAATTGCAATTTTATGCAATTAATTAAAATTGAAATAAAATAGATATAGAAGAATGTACGGTGGAGATGATTAATTGGATGACTTAAAGCTAACAGATGTTTCTTTGTATCTTTGAATATATTCACTTTGAACTTGATAAAGAAAGAACTATAAAAAATATGAAAGTGGAGATGCAATTATCAGGCCTGTCTGTCAACAATCCAAAGGAAGAAGAATTATTTATTTATTTGTTAAAGGAAGAAGAATTATTGTAAGGATCAAAGCTTTACTGGAGTTAGGAATTTTTTATTCTCTTAAAATGTATATTTATATATGGACACTCCATTATTGAGTCAATTAACTAATGGTCTGTCCAATTTTTCTATGTTCTATTTGCTTTTCATTGGAATCTTATCTTTAAAGGAAGATAAAGATTTAAAAAAAAAAAAAATCCTATAGGAAGCACCACTTTGATTTAATTAACTAATAATTAAATTTGTTTTGATTCCATTTATATTTTCAGTTTTTTTCTTTGTTTTTTTAAGATTCAAATGAAGTTTAATTAATTTTTTTTATAAAAATCAAGAACAAATCAAATAATTTAAAAATCAAATTTAAAAAGTTCAGTCTATTCAACCTTACTGTGCCCAACCTACACAGGACCATATTTATTCGCTTTTATCCGACCTAATGTAAAAATTTATCTCTGCACTTTATGGAAAAAATCTTATGGCATAAAAAATTTACTCTTACAGATATAAATTTTGATGACAGTGTACATTTTTTATATTAGCAATAATAATTTGTTTTGATGTTTTTGACATTTATATGCAAAATATTTACTTGATATGTATTAATAAAATATTTAAATAATAATTTTCATATTTTTTAACCGATTTAATTTTATATACAGTAGAATAATTTTGCAAGTTATTAAAGTATTTACGCTCTGTTTGTTTCCGTAAAATAACTTGTAAGAAAATATTTTTCACAATTTTTCATTGTTTGAGGTAAAAAAATAAGTCAACGGAAAATATTTTCATAGTCAAAAGAAAATTAAGTAATTTTTAAGGAAACTGACTTCCCAAGAGCGTAAAATATTTTCTGGGACTTGACAAACTTGTTATAACCTTGTAAATCCATATTTTTTTTTATTTATTAATCATCGGTAGCCATTACCACAATTCATAATTCGCTACCAGCCACCGCCACTGCCACCGGTCACCGATAACTTTCATAATATATTATTTTTGTGCATTATTCTCATATTTAATAATAAAATTTTTAAAATACGAAATTTATATTCTTATTATTATTATGATATTATAAGTTAAAATTTTAATATTTTAAACTAATTTTTAATATGTAACCAAACAACGAAAAATAAATTATTTAAAAATATTTTTCAAAAAAAATATTTTTTTAAAAATAAATAGAGATTAAGTATAATTATAAGTAAGTATTTATCAAGGCAAAATCAAAGCAATTATGCATCGACAGTTTTTGTCCTCTATATTTATCTTTCAAACCCATCAGCCAATGAGAAGAAAAGTGGTTTACTTCCAAAACTAGACACCATAACTTTGCTTCAGAGAAATTCCCATATGCTTTCTTCCTCTTGCGCAATAGGTTAGGAAGATGGGCTAAACTCTGAAAAAAATTTCTTCTCAACACTTGTAAAATTTTTCCTTTTGCTCTTAAATAGCTTACTCTATATGTTTGAGGCCAGTTCCAAATCTGCTCTTTCTAGGTGATTGATGCATATTAATGTATGTATATATTCCTCTCCAATCCTTCTTTTAATTTTCATGCTTACTTCTATTTTCATTTTCTATTGTTTTTCAGGAGTTAATTTCAAGTATTTTCCATATTTGTTGGACTCAATAGAGAACAATTTGGTATGTGCAGTTATTACAGTTATAGATGGGTCATGAATTTGACTGCTCTGTTTTAAATTTTGATCATGATCAAGTTTTAAGAGTTTTTTGCAGTTTTATGATGTGTGAGGGTTCAAGTATTTGATACAATGAATATATCATGTTTATGTTTATGTTGAACGAACTTCTCTCACTATATGAAGTCAATCTAACGTGAACACGACACGTGAATCCATTTTGATTTATAAATATCATAACTTCAGAATAAAAAAGAATTAAAAAAATCATTGGATAACCTCAATTTTGAAAAAAAGAATAATAATATTTGACTAAATTATGCCTATATTAATTTTTAAACGGAAATGTATTTATAGTATAGTTTGTATTAATTTGCTTCCCGTATTTATAGTATGAAGTTTAATTTATCTTCTTTCAAACCTTCCAATTGTCAAATCCAACCAAATCAAACTAAACTGCCATTAAATGTTTGATTTGGTTGAAATATGCATTGAACACCACAATTCAAAAAATAAAATTACATTTAATAAATATTTTAACTCGCAAAATTTATCTACGAATGCTCCAAATTATAATATTTCCTCTGTCTCATTTTGTTTGCTTGTTATTCATTTTTTTGATGTCTCAAAATATTTACAAGACTTCTAAATTTAGAAACGTAGACAATTATTTTTTCCATAATAACCTTTATGATTATTCATTAAGTGAATGACTTTTATTACTATTTTAATTAGTTAAGGGTATGAAATGACAAAACAACTTTTATTGAATAAATTCTTAATATGTATGTTTTGTCAAATCATGCAAATAAAATGAGACGGAAGAAATATAAACTTTATTAACACTTGCTCGATAGTTGAAAAATATAAAATTATTATTTTAAAAGTTATACTAATATTCATCATATCAATGTTTTACATATAAAAATTAAAAATGCTAGAATATTGCATAAATGAACTTTTGTAGGTGGGCAACAAGAGTTCTATTATATTTTGGTTTCTATTATATTGCATAAATGAACTCTTCTAATGTCGTGATCAATCTATTCACTTTTGTTAACAGAAACATAATTAATGAAAGTACTATACTTAATATATATATATCATCTATTTCTAAATACTTATCACATATTGAAAGGGTTTATATTTTTAAATACTTGTAACATTTGATAAAGTATTATGTTCCCACGTACTTGTCACATTTCTGGATTTAACAAATAATAAATATTTTTTCATTTTTACTATTTGTATATGATCAATGGTAATTAATGAAAAATTAAATTTAGTGTTTGTATATTGCAAATGTAGATATTATAATTAATTCATTCAGTAATATAACTCAGACAAATTGAATAGTTTATTGAGAATGGAGAGAATATAATTTTAAATTTAATGACTCACAAATGGCTAGTGCAGAAACAACCTTATAAAGTATTTATTTTATGTAATTGCATTTGCAATCTATCCAAACACAGCCTTTGCATATTGGCCAAGGATACCCTCTAAGCTCTAAAATATGAACTTCTATTTGCAGGTAAAATATACAGTCCACAGTCAACACTATGGCAATTGTAAATGGACTGATTTTGGACTTGACGAAGCAAATTTCCGCAGCCCTTTGCTATGAAACTCAGTATGCATTTGACTTTCTACGCGAGCTAGAGGTCATGAGGTCAAGGCTTCAACTTATTCAGGTGTTTCTAGAAGAAGATGAATACCAAAAGAAGGAAATATTACTTAACACCTTGGATGCTCTTAGAGAACTCCTGTATGAGACAGATGATATATTGACAGATTGCCTAATCAGAGAAAAATATCGCAAAACTGGACTCTGCTCCAAATTTTCTCTTCCGGGTTTGTCTTTCCGCCTTCAAACACACAAGAAATTGAAGGATATTAATACAAGGTTGGTGAAGGTGGAGGAAATTTTGAAGACCTATCTGAACGCGACAAGAAACATTAGTTATGAAGGTGATATTGACAGGTTTAGCAGATTGGAATACGATTTATCCGAGGAAACAGTTGTTGGAGTTCAAAGAGACGTGGAAAAGATAAAAGAATGGATTTTTAGCCCAAGCTACCGCAACCTTCAGATGATGGGGATTGTTGGGATGGGAGGCTTGGGAAAAACCACAATTGCCAGGCTCATTTTTAATGATCGTGATATACGTTGTCATTTTGATCGGTCCATATGGGTGTCAGTTTCTCAAAATTTTACGGTGGATGCGATCTTGAGAAGCATATTAGAACAACTGGGAGAAACATCACGTGGAAAATATATATTAGACATTATTTTTCATTTATTGAAAGAGCAAACCTGTCTTATTATTCTGGATGATATATGGGATACAGGTGTTGAATGGTGGATGAGTTTTTTCTCTCAGCTACAACGATCGGCTTCCAAAGGAACTTGCATTATCATCACCACCAGAAACCAAGATGTTGCTTATACTATTGGTATCGGAGCTGAAAGAATCCATCAACCGAAGCTTCTCGATGACGAGGAAAGCTGGTCGTTGTTTTCCAAGTTTGCATTTGGTAAGAAAAATAATGAAGGTTACGGGGAGTTCGAATTTCTGGGCAGGAAAATCCTGCATCAATGTGGAGGACTTCCATTAGCTATCAAGACTATAGGAGCTTTACTAGGATCAACTGATAGTCTTACAGAGTGGCATGCAATCTTCAAAAGATTTTGTGAACCGAATATCACAAAAGAGAATTCTATTGCAATGAATTCTCTGCGATTGAGCTATAAGGAACTTCCAGCTACTCTAAAGAGATGTCTACTGTGTTTGTCAATATACCCTCAAGATTTTGAGATAACAGCTTGGAACTTAATCTGCTGGTGGATTGGAGAGGGTTTCATCCGAGACAGTCTCTCGAAAACAGCAATGGAAATGGGCTCTGAATGTCTATCAGAATTGGTAAACAGGTGCCTTGTTGAAGTTGTCCAGAAGCGAGGATATGATGGAAGAGTGTACAGTGCTAAAATGCATAATATGGTGCGAGATTTAACAATTTTGATGGCAGAAGAAGAGAGAATTTGCAGCTTCAACAACCAGGGCCAGCAAGAATTCATGCCCAATTCTCGGTGGTTGGGTTTCACAAGTGAAATGGGTCCAAAATCATTGCAAAGATGTCCCAAGCTGAGGGCTTTATTGCTAATTAGCAATCAAGCTTTCTCTGATAGGAATTTGGGTTCACTAAGTTCACTTAGAGTGCTGGACTTGTCCAACAGTAAGTTAGACGACACACTTGCTTTACAGAATCTACTGACTTGGATCAGCTCCCTCAAACGCCTTGCATATTTAAATCTAAGTGGAGCCCAAGGCTTGCAAGAGTTGCCATCTTCCATTCGCAAACTCCAAAACCTCCAGCTCTTGGTTTTAACCGGATGCACTAATCTATCAAAACTAAGCCCTTCAATCACTAGTCTAAAGCATTTGTTACTCTTGGATGTAAGCTCTTGCGTCTCTCTTCCTTACCTTCCTCATGGACTACTAAACCTTTCGCAGCTTCAAGAACTATCTGGAGTGAGACTGGCACGCCCGCGTAACTCAACAAGCTGTCGACTTCTTGAGCTTGGAGAACTACGCCAATTAAGGGTACTACGAATGATTTTGAATAACCATAGTGAAATAACTGCAGATGAATTTAATGTCTTGTCAAATCTTCAAAAACTTAAGATTCTAGGCATTGACGCTGAAAATTGTGAACACATGAAAGACATACTAGACAGGCTTTGCCCTCCGCCAATGCTTAAAGAGTTGTATATCAGGCGTTACCGTCATGAAACTTTGCCAAAATGGGTAAATCCTGATCGTCTCCATAATTTGGAATATCTTTGCATAGAGGATGGAGGCCTTGTTGATATCAGCTCGAGCGCTGAAACTGATGGGGATACTTATTGGAGCTTGGAGGGTTTGTGTTTGAGGAGTTTGCCATATTTGCAGATGGAATGGAATGATTTGCTGCGGAAGATGCGTTTATTGCGGTATGCAGAGGTTAGCCATTGTCCCCAGTTATACAATTTTCCCTGGTCTGTGCAGAATGACCCGAGAACATGGAGGCGCTTTTCAGATTGATCAGGTATTTTTTTACTTGCGATGGTGCTGGCATAGCAGGACGATTGGAATGCTTGTTGATTGTAATGTGTGTTAAATTTGTTTTATGTTGGGATTGGTATGGGGTGAAGTTTGTATGCCATTTATTATGAACACATATTGTTGTTATTAGACGCAAAGCTTGTGATGGATAAATTTAATCGTACATCTTTCTTTCTAGATAGCTAAAATAACAGAGGCGAGCAAATAGCTATCAACAGTATTATATAATCCTACACAGATAAGTTTATAAGTTACATTGTAACCAATATAGATATATATATTTGGAAACTAGTTAATATGTTAACATTGTAACCAAATAGGTGCAAAAGGACTACCTAGAAAGAAAACATTGAGGGGACTAAAAAAGAATCAGCTATATAAAATCAGTTTGGGTATAAATAATAATTGGGAGATATCAAACACTCCACATAAGTGGTTCTATCATAGTAGATGAAAAAGCTGCCAGCCAGAGTCACTTCCTTGTATGAATGTTCTTCCAAATTGCAAAAATAAAGCTTCTTTTGTGAAAACCTTTGCAAGACAAGTTTGCCATTGATGAATGAACGAAATCTTGACCAATATAAAGGAAACATAATTTCTGTCCTTACACTACATTCCTTGTCCTTGATTTCCCAAATTATAGTTCTTGAACGAGTGGTTTCATGCAAACATAAATTTCCATCAATTTCCACTAACTACAGTAAATCTAGACTCATCTGACTAGGCAACAATGTTTCTGAAACTTGTTGTCTGATAAATCATAAGAGATTATTGCGCCTGAACCTGATATTCTGTTTTTAACTACCCAGTGAATTGCTCCATTCAGGAATAAGATTCACATGTAAGATAAGCCACCGTAGCCTTTGTATGGATAATCTTGATCAATTGTGTTCCAAGAATTAGTTCTAAGTGAAAATATTCCCAAGGTGAAATCTTCTTCTTCTTCTTCTTCTTCTTCTTCTTCAGATGTGATTTCCTTCGTCAGGAAATAAATTCTCAGCAGTTTGTAATCATCAGCAGAAGAATCATACCCAAATCCTTGTTTCCATTTGGTCCAACCAGAATCAACAGGCGGGTTTGGAATCACTCTGGTTTCTCTGATAGATGGATTCCAAAGAATTGTTTTGTTAGTTAAATTAGATGATAAATAAAGTAAAACCAATCCATCACAAGAACCTTCGACGATTACATAAAAATTTGTTAATTTTAATTTTTCTTCTGCTATGACTGATGCTGGAGCATCAGAATTTTCATGTGTTGACAAGAGTGATTCGAGGTCTATGGAGTAGAAAGAGAGAGTCCTTTCTGATGGAAGGAGAAGTTTGTAGCGGTTTTGGTTGAGGATTAATTGGATGAAACGATGATCTTAAATCAGAGATTGCCATTGTTTCGATACAGACTTAAATCGCAGCACAGACTTAATGGGTAATTTCAAGAGTATCTATTCAATAATTTCAGTGGGAAAACAGTGATTTGCTAGTTGGAGCTTTTCCATATAATTTTACATGGGAAATTCTCTTTTGAGCAGAAGAATGGATGTACTGTTGATTGCTTAAATATGTATGATGTCTCAAGTAAAAGGAGTTGGGTTAAGATTAGGATATGAAATCCTAATGAGGTTGAATTTCTTTTCCCGAACAAACATTAATTATTTAATTAACAAATAGTTTATTTATTGTTTTACCTCATAAATAAATATAATTATATATATGTTACTTTCTTAAAAATTTAATAGATATATAGACAATATACTTTCCTTTCAAAAACAAAAAAGACAATGTATTTTTTTTTTAAATTTATTATATTTATAATAGTTACTATTCTTAAAAATTAATAGGATAGTATAGACATATCTTTCTTTCAAAACAAAAAGACAATGTTTTTTTTTTTACAATTTATTAATAATATATATATATATATTTTGAATTATATATATATTGAAAATTTCTTGCCTATACCCAATATATGGATGGTCTTATATACCAAGTTAATCAAAAAAAGATTTTTTTTTTTTTTAAATTGTTATTGTCGATGCTCACGTTTGGTGTACAGTGAGCTATATACGTAAATCTTCCCCATTTTTTTTTTTTTGTTTATTTCTCCATATTTTGTACATCTTTGATATATATATTAAAAATATATAAAGCTGGTCTAAAAAATAGAGTCTAATAAAATAGGAAATTCATAAGAGTTCTTTTAGAATATTTATAATATCAAATCAAAATTAATTATTTTTAAAAAACCATATCAATATATCAATTCAATAAAAATAATAAAAAGCATGTTAATTGTGATTCTAGCTCAACGTTTTGATATAATGACAAAAGAGAGCATGGCATGGAGACTAAGAACAAAGTTAGGAGTCATCAAGCAAAATCCTAGTGTTAGATTATGAGATTTTGCTAGAAATTCCAAGTTGTATCTATAAATATTTAGTAAATAAATTTGAATGTGCAGACATCCAATTAACAATATTCAATCTTTCTAGTGCTACTTAAAACGTGGGTTATTCTCTTGTATCCCGTTTCCGAAATGTCGTACCCAAACGCCATACATATAGATGTATTGATGGAAGCTTAAACTACACCAAACATAATTAAACCCCATCACTACCCGCTAAAGTGCTCTCTATTCAGGAATAAGATTGACGAGCAAGATAAGCCAACATATATAGCCTTTACATGGGTAGTCTTGATTGATTGTTTTCCAAGAATTAGTTTTAAGGGTAAAGATTTTGAAGATGAAATCTGCTTCTTCTTCAGACATGATTTCCTTTCCAGAGTAAGAAATTCTCAGCAATTTATAATCATCAGCTAAGGAATCATACCCAAATCCATGTTTCCAGTTGGTCCAACCAGGATCAAAAAGTGGATTTTGGGTCACGCTAGTTTCTCTAGTAGATGGATTTCGAAGAATTGTTTTGCTATTTAAATTAGATGATAAATCAAGTAAAATCAATCGATCAAGAACTTTCCAGACTGATATTGAAACTTCATAATTTTAATTTTTCTTCTGCCATTACTGATTCTGGAGCATGGATATTATATTAGGCATTGACAGTCCATAGAGTAAAAAAAAGTAAGACCTTTTCGATTTAAGAGGAAGTTTGTGGTGTGTTAGCGATTCAGCAAGTGTACGCATCATGCAAGTAGTATATATAAAGATATTGTCCTCAGGGATTAGGGACTGAGTATTAGCTTTAAATTCAAGATGTATTGTTTAGCAATTAACTGAAAAATTTGTGGAATCTAAACTATTTGAATGTAAAGCAACAAGAATATGAGTAAACAGAAAGAAAACAAGATATATTTGATGTAATCAAGAAGAGAAGGCACTAGTGTTGGGAACACCATTGAATTGATGGGAGCCATGAATTATGTCGTAAAAACAACTCAAGATTGAAACAAGTACAAAAGTAAATCAAAACACAAATCACACAAGAACTAACCTATTGTAGTGCAGAATCGTTCGCCAGTGCTCTTTCTAAATATCTTCAAGTCACCTTATAGTCTTTTGCTGTGATATCTTAATTGATTATATGAATTTTATTTTTCTGAGTGGGCAGAAAATACAGTACGTCTAATTCTTGAGGTCGTCCTAAGTTTTTCTCTAAATACGCTACTATCTCAAGCATGTATTCAGCAACCAATAACTTCTCTTATCCACGTGAAAAGTCTACGATAAGATTCATCGTTCTGTTACCCACACGATTAATATTTTAAATAAAACAGACTATATTTTTTTAATTAAAATTAATAAATAAAATTTTAATTAAAAAATTAATCTTTTAATTATTTAAAATACATGAACCACGTACAGTCCAAATAATTAATGCATAACAGGGACCGTAGGAATAAATTAATAAGGCTATAAATTATAATAAGAATCCATATAGGACCAATATATTATTATTATAATTAATCATAAATTATTTCACTAAAAATTCATGATTGATCTCCTTATTAATTTAACTTTCCATAACATAATAATTTATGTTCCCCATGTAAAGATTACATAGGCTTGTCAAATAAAATAAATCACTGACAATTTATTTAAATAACAATTTTAATTTTTAAGATTGTCACTTAACTTATTTCATGTGTTGGATTAAAAATCTACCCATAGGATTTACACAATAAAACCTTATAAACTTACTTAAAATATATCATCATTCTTTAAACCGAGACATGAATTCTGTTATTAATTAATATTTCACAAATACAAGTCGTGTTTGCCCAACTCACTGAGAATTGTTGTCCCGATAAATGAAAACCCACTCTTTCATGAATTAAAGCACAAAATAATGTATTTGCTCATATTAATTAAATCAAAATTAAGAATATAATTCTTGTTTCTAATGTCCTAAAGAATCTACTTTAATAGTCAGTATAAAACAATCATCCTCTACTTGGTCTAGTTAGATATATACAAAATGTACTAACACTATTATCATAAAATATGCTGAAAATTTTATTTTTTTAATGCAAATCTTCAATTAAATGCATAGAAATAATTGTCCTAAGAAAAATATCAAAACTATATCATTACATTTGCATGGTTAATAGTATATCTCTATCAATGTCCCACTTAGACTCATAACCATGCATCTATTATTTTAACTCTCATTCCTTAGACATGACTATGAAAAGTCTTTGCTGATAAAAACCAGTTAGTCTCATCAAGAGAAACTCCCCATTGAATCAGCCGAGCCTTTGCTAGTAAAATGTTCCTATAGCACTGCCACAGAAAATGAATAATCTTACTGGAAACATCTAGCCCCCATAGATTCCTCCACATATTAAAGTTTGGAATGGTTTCCTACACCATATTCAACCGAATCGCAACCTTGTAAGCTGGCCTCACTGTGTAATTACCTTTAGAGGACCAATGCCAAATTAAAACATCAGGGACACTATGCCTTGACAATGGAATCTATTGAACCAAAGTACCCTCTGCAGGCAGAAACAATGTGCGAATCAGCTCCTAATCCCAACGATGTCCATCAACTATCAGGTCTTTTATAAGCAAATTTTCATATCCATTCACAACAATAGAAGTGACTCAAAAAGAATCAGCATTGTCATCAGCTCCTAATCCCAACTGAGATGTCAGTCAACTATGCAGGAGTTCTTCTATAAAGCAAATTTTCAGTTATCCATGTCTACTGAACAAGAGGACCAATGCCAAATTAAAACATCAGGGACACTATGCCTTGACAATGGAATCTATTGAACCAAAGTACCCTCTGCAGGCAGAAACAATGTGCGAATCAGCTCCTAATCCCAACGATGTCCATCAACTATCAGGTCTTTTATAAGCAAATTTTCATATCCATTCACAACAATAGAAGTGACTCAAAAAGAATCAGCATTGTCTAACAAAGGAGAATCCCATACACCGATAAAACTACCATCACCTACCCTCCGCCAAGCTCTAGCATTAATAAGATTCTGAGAAGCAAGCAAACCCCTCCAAACATAACTTTTGATTATGCCCTAAGATGGCATGTTGGAAAACCCCGTCCGGATAATATTTAGATTTGAAAACCTGAGACATCAGAGATTGTAGTTTAGAGATAAGACGCGATGCTTGCTTGCCCAAGAGTGCTAAATTAACACTTGGAAGGTGACAGAAGCCAAGTCCACTATTCTCCTTACTCATAGACATACAATCCCATGACAGCCAATGCACCCCACGCTAATCATAATTCTTCATACCCCACCAAAATGAATTCATCATTCGCTCTAATTCAGTATATAAAGACACAAGAAGGAGAAAAATGCTCATGCAATAAGAGGGGATTGCTTGAACGACAGACTTCAAAAGGATCTCCTTACCTACTTTGGATAAAAATTGACACTTCCAAATCTGTAATCTTTTCCAAACCCGATCCTTAAGAAAGGAGAAAACAACCTTCTTATTACCACCAATGAGAGAGGGCAATCCTAGGTATTTGCCATGATTCAAGGGCAAAAAAACACCCAGGATAGAAGTGAGAGAAGCTCATAAGGCGGCTGAAACATTCAGGCTAAAAAAGATCTCCGATTCCTAAAAATTAATGGCTTGCCTTGAAGCCAATGCATAAGTCCGCAAGATAGATTTAACAATGTTGCTTTCTCTTTTGGTAGCTTTAAAAAATAAAAAGCTATTGTCCGCAAACGAAAGATGTGAAATACTTGGACTTTCTCTTGTAATACAAGTGCGGGTCAATGATTTTTTTGACTCAACCCAACCCGTTAAATGCATGAACCGGTGAGGTTATAAACGGATTGAGTTGGGTATACAACATAAACTCGCAGGTTAAATAAATGATAATAATAAAAATATTTTTAAATAAAATACAACTCTTTAAGCATATTACTAAAAAAAATTAAATATACTTAAAAACTTAATTATACAATAATTTCACAAACTAGAAATATATTCCAATGACAATATTAAAATTAAATTTCATAACGTGATCATTATTATCATCATGATAATTATAATCAACAATGAAAAATTAACTTTCCTAATAAAAAGACAACTAGTAAAATTAAAAATACTTAATAACATAATTATATAATATATGTGTTAAAGTACAATATACTCTAATATAGAAGGTAATATCTACTAAATATGTGAATAATTTAGTATTTATATTCAAAATTGCAAATCAAATCAAATTAACTAAATAGTGCGTAATTTATATATGGGTTAGGTTAGGTCTGCAGATTCACTAGGTGAACCTGTCACCCAATCCGTGAATTATAAAGACGACCCATCCAACCCAACCCATTATATCTTCAAACCCGTCAGGTTAGATCGCTTGGGTTGAGTCAGATTATAATGGGTCATGTGCAACCCTATCTAAGTTTGAATGAGTGGGATATAATTATAACTGATATTTTAAATTTAAAATATAATCATTTGAATTTTTGAAAATAGGACAAAATTGTAAGTGGTTAAATTAGGCCATTTTTTCTTAATTGGGATTGGGATGGATTACTTTGTATTGTTACTAGTTCTTTATATCAGTAATAGTCAGTTAAGTGTGGGAACATCATTTTAAAATTTGTGTAAAAACTATAATACTATTCAAAATATTATAGGACATCTTAATGTCTTGTGTTGTATGTTGTTATTGTTTGTTATTTACTATTCAAAATATTATTGGTTGTGTTGTTTAGATATACTATTTTTTATAATATTAAGTATTAGTTATGATTTTTCTTTTATATTATTTGAATTTTTATAATGTTAAAATCAGTGTAGGCATTCTGAATCTACTCTTTTTATATTGTTTCGAAATATTATAAAGTAAATCCTTATTTACCTTTTAATCATGTTAAATTGGAGCACTATTTTTTTTAACAGCAAAAACAAATTTATGTTATTATAATAATATCAGGGAAAAAAGACTTAGCAAGCGAGTAATCTAAGCCGAGCCAACATGCTTTCCCATACACACAATTTAATCAAAACAGCCAAGAGTAAAAACCTAACACCAACAAACTTTAAAAAACCTCAACCAACAACAGAAAGCAAAAAAAAAAATTTTGAGATAAAAATAACAATTCTTGCTATCAAAGTAAATAGAAAAGCGAAGAGAACCTCCAAAACTTGTTGACTATTAAAGGTTTGTTCGGTAAAATTAACTGTTTTAGCAGTTATTAATTGTTTTAGTAGTGTTTAATTGTTAACTGTTTGAGTAACGTTTCATAAAACGCTAGAAGCTAAATGTTAGTTAACTTTTTTTTTTAAAAAAAAAAATGCTAGTTAACCTCTACAAGCTAGTTCAAACGCTATGTTACCTAACATTATAAAAAATAGCGTTTAATATTTTGATCAGTCAAAACGCTAATTAAAAAACTGTTGCTGAACATACCTCAAATCCAAGCAACAAACTCTGCATCAACACCTTTCTTAGCAAGAGAATTTGCATCAACAAAATTCAATTATTTTTCTTGTTTATGGTGCTTTATCAAAATAACTCAATAGTTACATACGATGTTCTTTATACAGATAATCTTAATTTCTTCCTCAATGTATAATATAATATATCGTAAAATATTAACCAAACCATAATTAGGATTATTAACGAAATTTGGAATTTTAATAATTAAAAAAAAAAGAGACAATGCACATAATTAATAATTGAATGAAAAACCGAATTATATATATAATTAACTATAATATAAAACATATATTTAAATAAAGACATGGATATTCTGGGCTAGAATAGATATGGAGGTAATTGAAACTGTAGCATATGTAATACTCTTTCAATCACATTTTGTTTGCATGGTTCGATAAAATATGCATATTAAGAATTTAGTCAACGAAAGTTATTTTGCTCTTTTTTTACCCTTAACTCGTTAAGATATTAATAAAAGTCCTTTTTTTATTGAACAATTGAAGGTTATTATGAAAAAAATAATTATTTACATATCTAAATTTAAAAAACTTGAAAATATTTTGGACGTTCAAAAAAGGAATAATAAGCAAACAAAATGGGACGCAAGGAGTATTTCATTTCATCGCAGGTTTTACCTTACAATACAATAAAGTCTGAAAATCCATTGCTAAATTGGTCTGAAACATTAACTGTTAATTTGAAACATATATTCATATATTAGGATTTTGATTTAAATAATATTTCTTTTATTCTCCTGATATTTGAACGTTATTAGAAATTTTAATATTTTTGTAAAATAAAAAAAAATTGAATTTTTAATCTTATGGTATTAAAATTATCAAATTGTTCTGAAAACGGTTTTTTAAATTAATAATGAAAATAGAACTCTAAAATGAATCTTTTAAAAAAATTATGCATACCAAACATTGACCTTATTCTTTTCCAGAATTTCTTTACAAATTTAATTTATGGAAACAAAAGCAAAAAGAGAGAAAAAGGAAACAATAATGGATAGGCATCATCAGTCAATGACGACAAAAGTAGCTTTAAGTCCAGACCCACTGTAGTTCAATTATTAATTATCCAAGACTCTTCATTTCTATCATTCTGTGTAATAAATAATGCAGGAAAAGCTTATTTTGATTGTCCTATACTCACTGCCAATAATAGACTTAAATTTCTCTTCGGCTGGATTTTTTGGCTTGTTGCTCATCACCTCTTCATATGCTCATTGCTTGCAGGTAATATTAATTTACCATCCTATTCAATATATAGAGAAAAATGGAAGACAATAATGGAAAGGCATCATCCAGTCAATGGACGACAGAAAGTTAGCTTTTAAGTCCAGACGCGAGCACTGTGTAGTTTTCAATTATTAAATATCTCAAGACCTCTTCATTTCTATCATCTGTGGTAATAATTTATAATGGGCAGGGTAAAAGCTTATTTTAGATTGTCTATTACTCCACTGCCAATAATAGAATCTTAATTTTCTCTTGCGGTCTGGAGTTTTTTGTGGCTGTTTGCTCATACCTCTTCATATGTCTCAATTTGCTTTGCAGGTAATATTAATTTACCATACCTTATTCAATATTAGTATATTTATATTTTTATAGCTAAGTTTATATATATGTTTTTCGTGAGAATTATATTTACCTATATTCTCCTATATATATATATATATATATATATTCTGGAAATTATATTACATATATTCTCCATGTACACAGTGTTCTATTATCTAGAATTGTTTAGAGTTCATTCATGAAACAAAAATCATGTATGTTGCGGAAAATGTTTTTCTTTTTTCTTTTTATTTTTTTTAACTTAGAAACCTAAATATATAATCCATAATGATGTTTTCTTGATTAAAATAGAGCATGAAATGCTATTGAAAATTGTATAAGCATAGAGTATGATACTATTTCTTTAGCTCTTTCCAACGACCCATTTATAACAAAGCCCTTAAAACCTGAATTTCACAGGTAAGACTATAGAATGGCAGAGACTGTGTCTTTGGTTTCTACTGCGCTAGACAGATTGTTCTTAGTCCTCAAGGAAGCAGAACATGTACGGGACTTTAAAGGCGAGTTCGATACTATGAAGCAGAGACTTGATAACATAAAGAAACTAATCAGTAATGAAGAGAATCGTAATCAGGCTACAGTACAGGATTGCTTGGCTAGATTCAGAGATTTAATGTATGAAGCAGATGATATATTGACAGACTGCCTAATCAGACAAGAATATCATACTAAGGGATTTTTCTCATCCAAATACTTTCCTCAGAATTTCTTCTTCTATCTTCAAACAGCCAAGAAAATAAAAGATATTAATGCAAGGATGAAGACGCAGTATGATATTTTGGAGGAAGCCCGACGAGGTGACAACAACCTCCGAAGGAATGATACGTTCCAGTTCAGACGCGACGATGATCCATCTGATGAAATACTTGGACTTGAAGGTGATGTGAAGAAGATACATGACTGGATTCTTTGCCCAGATAAAGAGCTTCAGAAGATTGCAATTGTGGGTTTGGGAGGCTTGGGAAAGACGACTCTTGCTAGGCTAATTTTCAATAATGATGATGTAAGCAAACATTTTCAGAAGAAAATTTGGGTGTCTGTTTCTCAAACATTTAAAGAGGATGATATCTTGCAGAAATTACAAGAAAACTTGGGTAGACAGCCAGCTTCACAGACTGGATCTACCTTTGAAGATGGGCTAAAACAAATCATTTCACAGTTGGAGGAAATAAGTTGTCTCATTGTTCTAGATGATATCTGGGACAACAGGCGTCTAGATTGGTGGAAAAAGAAGTTTTTCCCTGCTCTATCACAATCAAGCCACAAACAAAGTTGTGTTATTATCACCACCAGAGACGAAGGTGTTGCTAATGCCATTGGAGTTGATGAATCGTTTGTTCATAAGCCCAAATTCCTCAATGAAGCAGATAGCTGGTCGTTGTTCTATAAGCATGCATTTGCTAAGGTTGAGAAAAATTGTTCTGAAAAGTTTAAAGATTTGGGCAAGAAAATCGTGGCTAGATGCGGGGGACT